GAGAAGAACTGAGGGTGGGAAAAGGCCTTAGAAGGAAAAGGGGGGTAAATGATCTCAACAGGGAACTGGGGGGGGGGGGAAAGATCTTAGGAAGGAAAGGCAGAAGATCTGGGGCAAAAAGGCCTTAGGGGGGAAAGGGGAGAAATGATCTCAACAGGGAAAGGGGTGGAAAAGATCTTAGGGAGGAAAGGGAGAAGATCTGGGGAAAAAAGGCCAACAGGGAAAGGGGGAAAAGATCTTCAGGGGGGGAAAGGCCTTGGGAGGGAAAGGGGGGAAAGGATCTCAACAGGGAAAGGGTGGGAAAGATCTTAGGGAGGAAAGGGGGGGGGAAGATCTTAGGGAGGAAAGGGAGAAGATCTGGGAGAAAAGGACTTAGGGGGGAAAGCCCAACAGGGAAAGGGGGGAAAAGATTTAGGAAGGAAAAGGGAGAAGCTCTCAGGGGGGGGAAAGGCCTTAGGGGGGAAAGGGGGAAAAGGATCTCAGCAGGGAAAGGGGGGGGGGAAGATCTTAGGGAGGAAAGGGAGAAGATCTGGGGACAAAGGCCTTAGGGGGGAAAGGGGAGAAATGATCTCAACAGGGAAAGGGGTGGAAAAGATCTTAGGGAGGAAAGGGAGAAGATCTGGGGGAAAAAAGGCCAACAGGGAAAGGGGGGAAAGATCTAAGGAAGGAAAAGGGAGAAGCTCTCAGGGGGGGGAAAGGCCTGAGGGGGGAAAGGGTGGGAAGGATCTCAACAGGGAAAGGGGGGAAACAATCTTAGGAAGGAAAAGGGAGAAGATCTGGAAAGGCCTTAAAGGGAAGGGGGGAAAGGATCTCAACAGGGAAAGGGGGCAAAGGATCTTAAGGAGGAATAGGAAGAAGATCTCAGCGGGGGGAAAGGCCGTAGGGGGGAAAGGGGGAAAGGATCTCAACAGGGAAAGGGGGGGAAAGATCTCAGTGAGGAAAGGGAGAAGGTCCCAGGCAGGGAAAAGGCCTTAGGGGGGAAAGGGGGAAAGGATCTCAACAGGGAAAGGGGGCAAAGGATCTTAGGGAGGAAAAGGGAGAAGATCTGAAAAGGCCTTAGGGGGAAAAGGGGGAAAGGAGCTCAACAGGGAAAGGTGGGAGAAGATCCTAGGGAGGAAAAGGGAGAAGATCTCGGGGGGAAAGGGGGAAAGGATCTCAACCAAGGGAAAAGATCTTGGGGAGGACAAGGGAGAAGAGGGGGGAAAGGCCTTAGGGGGGAAAGGGGGGAAAGGATCTCAACAGGGAAAGGGGGCAAAGGATCTTACAACAAAAAAGGGAGAAGACCTTGGGGGGGAAAACGCCTTAGGTGGGAAACGATCTTAGGAAGGAAAAGGGAGAAGCTCTCAGGGGGGAAAGGCCTTAGGCGGGAAAGGGTGGGAAGGATCTCAACAGGGAAAGGGGGGAAACAATCTTAGGAAGGAAAAGGGAAAAGATCTGGAAAGGCCTTAAAGGGAAGAAGGGAAAGGATCTCAACGCAAAAAGGAGGCAAAGGATCTTAAGGAGGAATAGGGAGAAGATCTCAGCGGGGGGAAAAAAGGCCTTAGGGGGGAAAGGAGGGAAAGGATCTCAACAGGGAGAGGGGGGAAAACATCGTAGGGAGGAAAAGGGAAAACTCAGAGGGAGAAAGGGCCTTAGGGGGGAAAGGGGGAATGGATCTCAACAGGGAAAAATGGCAAAAGATCTTAGGGAGGAAAAGGGAGAAGATCTCAGGGGGGGAAAGGCCTTAGGGGGGAAAGGGGGAAAAGGGAGAAGATCTGGGGGGGAAAGGCCTTAGGGGGGAAAGGGGGGAAATGATCTGAGCAGGGAAAGGGGGGGAAAAGATCTTAGGGAGGAAAGGGAGAAGATCTGGGGGAAAAAAGGCCAACAGCGACAGGGGGGAAAGATCTAAGGAAGGAGAAGCTCTCAGGGGGGGAAAGGCCTCAGGGGGAAAGGGTGGGAAGGATCTCAACAGGGAAAGGGGGGAAACAATCTTAGGAAGGAAAGGGGGGGGGGGGGAAGATCTTAGGGAGGAAAGGGAGAAGATCTGGGAGAAAAGGACTTAGGGGGGAAAGCCCAACAGGGAAAGGGGGAAAAAGATCTTAGGAAGGACAAGGGAGAAGCTCTCAGGGGGGGGAAAGGCCTTGGGAGGGAAAGGGGGGAAAGGATCTCAACAGGGAAAGGGTGGGAAAGATCTTAGGGAGGAAAGGGGGGGGAAGATCTTAGGGAGGAAAGGGAGAAGATCTGGGAGAAAAGGACTTAGGGGGGAAAGCCCAACAGGGAAAGGGTGGAAAAGATCTTCGGAAGGAAAAAGGAGAAGCTCTCAGGGGGGGGAAAGGCCTTAGGGGGGAAAGGGGGAAAAGGATCTCAGCAGGGAAAGGGGGGGGGGGAAAGATCTTAGGGAGGAAAGGGAGAAGATCTGGGGACAAAGGCCTTAGAGGGGAAAGGGGAGAAATGATCTCAACAAGGAAAGGGGTGGAAAAGATCTTAGGGAGGAGAGGGAGAAGATCTGGGGGAAAAAAGGCCAACAGGGAAAGGGGGGAAAGATCTAAGGAAGGAAAAGGGAGAAGCTCTCAGGGGGGAAAGGCCTTAGGCGGGAAAGGGTGGGAAGGATCTCAACAGGGAAAGGGGGGAAACAATCTTAGGAAGGAAAAGGGAAAAGATCTGGAAAGGCCTTAAAGGGAAGAAGGGAAAGGATCTCAACGGGGAAAGGAGGCAAAGGATCTTAACGAGGAATAGGGAGAAGATCTCAGCGGGGGGAAAGGCCTTAGGAAGGAAAGGAGGGAAAGGATCTCAACAGGGAAAGGGGGGGAAAGATCTCAGTGAGGAAAGGGAGAAGATCCCAGGCAGGGAAAAGGCCTTAGGGGGGAAAGGGCGAAAGGATCTCAACAGGCAAAGGGGGCAAAGGATCTTCGGGAGGAAAAGGGAGAAGATCTGAAAAGGCCTTAGGGGGAAAAGGGGGAAAGGAGCTCAACAGGGAAAGGTGGGAGAGGATCCTAGGGAGGAAAAGGGAGAAGATCTTGGGGGGAAAGGGGGAAAGGATCTCAACCAAGGGAAAAGATCTTGGGGAGGACAAGGGGGAAGATCTCAGGGGGGGAAAGGCCTTAGGGGGGAAAGAGGGGAAAGGACCTCAACAGGGAAAGGGGGCAAAGGATCTTAGGGAGGAAAAGGGAGAAGATCTTGGGGGGGAAAACGCCTTAGGGGGGAAAGGGCGGGAAAGGATCTCAACAAGGAAAGGGGGGAAAAGATCTTAGGAAGGAAAAGGGGGAAGATCGCGGGGGGAAAAAAGGCCTTAGGGGGGAAAGGAGGGAAAGGATCTCAACAGGGAGAGGGGGGAAAACATCGTAGGGAGGAAAAGGGAAAAACTCAGAGGGAGAAAGGGCCTTAGGGGGGAAAGGGGGAATGGATCTCAACAGGGAAAGGTGGCAAAAGATCTTAGGGAGGAAAAGGGAGAAGATCTCAGGGGGGGAAAGGCCTTAGGGGGGAAAGGGGGGAAAGGATCTGAGCAGGGAAAGGGGGGGAAAGATCTTAGGGAGGAAAGGGAGAAGATCTGGGGGCAAAGGCCGTAGGGGGGAAAGGGGAGAAATGATCTCAACAGGGAAAGGGGTGGAAAAGATCTTAGGGAGGAAAGGGAGAAGATCTGGGGGAAAAAGGCCAACAGGGAAAGGGGGGAAAGATCTAAGGAAGGAAAAGGGAGAAGCTCTCAGGGGGGAAAGGCCGGGAAAGGGTGGGAAGGATCTCAACAGGGAAAGGGGGGAAACAATCTTAGGAAGGAAAAGGGAGAAGATCTGGAAAGGCCTTAAAGGGAAGGGGGGAAAGGATCTCAACAGGGAAAGGGGGCAAAGGATCTTAAGGAGGAATAGGGAGAAGATCTCAGCGGGGGGAAAGGCCGTAGGGGGGAAAGGGGGGAAAGGATCTCAACAGGGAAAGGGGGGGAAAGATCTCAGGGAGGAAAGGGAAAAGATCCCAGGGAGGAAAAGGCCGTAGGGGGGAAGTGGGGGAAAGGGAGGAAAAGGGAGAAGATCTCAGGGGGGAAAAGGCCTTAGGGGGGAAAGGGGGGAAAGGATCTCAACAGGGAGAGGGGGGAAAACATCTTAGGGAGGAAAAGGGAAAAATCAGAGGGAGAAAAGGCCTTAGGGCGGAAAGGGGGAATGGATCTCAACAAAGAAAGGGGGGCAAAAATCTCAGAGGGGAAGGGGGCAAGGGGACAATTCCAAAGGGACGCAAATAAGAAAGCAGGCCTGTAATGTCGGCGGCCTGAGCCGGAGGCGTTAAAATAAACAAACAAAACAAACAAACAAACAAACACAAACAAGCAAACAAACAAACAAACACACAAACAAACAAACACACAAAAACAAACAAACAAACAAACAAACAAACAAACAAACAAACAAACAAACAAACAAACAACAAGAACCACAACCACCCAACACCCAAGAACCAACAACCAACAAACAACAAGCAACAACCAACAAACCACAAACAACAAACAAAAAACAACCAACAATTAACAACCAACAACCAACAACGAACAACCACAACAAGAACAAGAACAAGAACAAAAACAAGAACAATAAGAATAACAAGAACACAAACAACACAAACAACACAAACAACACAAACAACACAAACAAACAAACACACAAAGAAACAAACAAACAAACAAACAAACAAACAAACAAACAAACAATCAAACAACCAGACAGACAGACAGACAGACAGACAAACAAACAAACAAACAAACAAA